GGCTAGTTCATCACCCAAAAGTCTGTTGATCTCTATTCAAAAAAAAAAATCGAAAACAAAATTAAACTCAAATCAAGTCAACAACTTTTTAACATTTAATAACAATTAATAACATTCATTCATGTATCGGGTGGTCACGAAAAAACCGGAAGTTTTTATTTTCCTTGTGGTTCCATCATTCCTCAACCGAATTCGAATTTCTTGACGTCGTTTTATACCTGAAGGGCTATAGTATACAGTGGATTATTTGAAAATTTCATAATGAACAAAAACCAGATGGCGGATTCTACCAAAGTATTATCATTTACAAAAACCGCTGGAGAAGAAGAAAATCAGATTTTTTCCAACCTGTACCGATGTCATCTTAGGCTATTCATTTCTGAAGAGAATGGGTACTCGAACGTCGAAATCGAACAAATAGTCCAGTAGATACACTCATTTCTTCGCAATTTGTTATGGAGTGAATGTGCTAATCACGAATAAACGATTATCAATATACTGCTTCAGGCTTCATGACAATTCAATCAAATTCCGATTTCTTGGGGTTATTTCAAAGATAAAGAACTGCACAGTGGAACATTTGAAAATCCAATAATTGAAAGAAACAAAATGGTGGAGAATCCAGAATTGGTGTGATTTTCAAAAATCTCTGGTGAATGAAAAAATGTTCATTCTTCCAATCAGGACCGATACAATTCCAGATCATTGATTCATTGAAAGAATCAGCACTCGAACATCTGAATCGAACAATTAGTCCAGGAGAAACACGATCTTTTTGGCAAAGTGTTATGGAGTGAATGTGCCAATCACGTGATAAGAATCAATTTCAGTTTGCTCCTGGCTTCATCAGAATTCAATCGAATTCGGATTAATTAGTACACAGTGGAACATCTGAAAATTTAATGATTGCAAAAAAAATGGAGTATCCCTAATTTGAGTGAATTTCAAAAACCGCTAGTGAATAGAAAAATGTCAATTTTTCAATTCAGAACCGGAGTAATTTTATATCAATAATTTCTGAAGAAAATTAGAACTCGAATATCTGGATTTAACAAATAGTCCAGAACTTGTACGCACTTTTTTGCGATGTTATGGAGTGAATGTGCCGAAAAACGAACTTCTGAAAATATATTTCCATCTGATAACAACATACTAACAGCAAAAACAATAACATAACATAATTTATTATTTAAATTTATAGTATGGTTCTTCTGTGCATACGGGGCGCGCAACTGTTGATCATCTCAATAACAGAGTTCCTATCTAATCGAACCAACAATGTGGCCTCCAAATAACCCGGACTTGAACTCTGTAGATTTCAAAGTCTGAGGTACCTTACAGGAATGGGTATTTACAAATGAAAGTAACTCCGAGAACTTGGAAGATTTGAAGCAAATAATTGATTATTGCGTGGAAAATGCAATGTTTGAGTTAGAAATAGCCCGGTCGATACAGAGCTTGTTCAGTTCCGTAGTTGAAGCAAAAGGGATACACATTCAGGTCATTTCAAAATTCGTTATGTTTTGACTACAACTAGTATAAAGTTTTATATACTTTCAGGGTTCCACGCAATCTTCATGGACTCACATCTAGATGTCAATATCAACATTTTTCTATTTGCTTGCGGTTTTTGTAAATCACGAAAGTTAGGGTTACTCCACAATCTCGTTTTTTTTTCAATTATGAAATTTTAATATGTTCCACTGTGTACTACAGCTATTCAGCTCTGAAATGGCAGTAAAAAATTCAAATTCTATTGAATTCTTATACAGCCAGAAGCGAACTGAAAGTAATTCTTATCACGGGATTGGCACATTCACTCCATAACACTTCGCCAAAAAGAACGTGTTTCTCCTGGACTAATTATTTGATTCAGATGTTCGAGTGCTCATTCTCTTTAGAAATCAATGATCTAAAATTGTATCGGTCCTGATTGAAAGAATAAACTTTTTTTATTCGCCAGAGAGATTTGAAAATCACAAAAATTCTGAATACCCCACCATTTTGTTTCTTTCAATTATTGGATTTTCAAATGTTCCATTGTGTACTACAGTTCTCCATCTTTGAAATAACTCTAAGGAATTCATATTCAATTGAACTTCCATGAGGCCTGAAGCAAAATAATAATAATCGTTTATTCGAGATTAGCACATTCACTCCATAACAAATTGCAAAGGAATGAGTTTATCTACTGGACTATTTGTTCGATTCCGATGTCCGAGTACTTATTCTCTTCAGGAATGAATAGCCTAAGATGACATCGGTACATGTGGAAAAAATCTGATTTTATTCATCTCCAGCGGCTTTTGTGAATGACAATACTTTGGTAGAATCCGCCATCTTGTTTTCGTTCATTATGAAATTTTCAAATACTCCACTGTATACTATAGCCCTTTAGCTATGAAACGACGCCAAGAAATTAGAATTCGGTCAAGAAATGATGAAACCACGAGGAAAATAAAAACTTCCGTTTTTTTTGTGACCACCCAATATAATGAGTACAAATAGAGATACATAGAAAATCAAACATAGAATTATATGATAATATAATAAATATATGCTGATGAATATAAATTGATTGTTGATGAATAAATTTGAGCACTCAATAAGTGAGTTAACACTTGTTTGGAAGGTGAAACAAATACAGTGAATAATAATAATGATAAAATAGAATTGATAATATAATATAGTATTTACTAGAATAATACATCCATTTGAAAATGATAATACCTTGACGATAGCAAAAATACTTTCAGTAAATTTGAAAATTAACAATGTTCCTAGGGTTATTGATGATGTATGTTTTCAGTTCGTGCTTAAAATGAGCAGTAGATATAATATTTCTCATATTCCCAGGTAGGGAATTATAAATTTTCGGAGCGATATATGAAAATGATCGTTGGCAAAGTGTTTTTGACATTTGTGGCACTTTGATATGATGTTTTTGTCGTATATTGTAGTCATGTGTCGGAAGTTGTGCAATATGTTTGTTTCGATGTTATTTCAAGTTGGCCGTGAAATAAAATAGTTGTCTAATATCGAATATCTTGGCTACAGAATACAGTTCATCAGATGGACATGTTCGTTCTTTAGAAAATATTATTTTGAGAAGTCTTCTTTGATCCCCTTCTAGGAAGTTTATGTAAGTATCTGCAGCATCGCCCTATCCTAGTATGCCATAAAGCAGGTGACTTCCAATTAAGGCAAAGTACAGGGTTTTGAGTTGAGCCACCGGTGAGATTTTTTTGAGATATTTGAATTCGTATAATGAAGTTTGTAATTTTCTTGTAACGTATGTTATATGTTGGTCCCATCTCAAATGGATATCAATATATATTCCTGAATATTTTATTTTTGTTTCAGGTTTTATGTCTACATTTCCGCCATGTATATTAAATTTTAAACGATCGAATGAAGGAATGTTGGACTTATCACAACTAAATGGTGAGTAGCATGTTTTCTCCAGATTCAATGTGAGTAACCTGTGATCTAGCCAATTCTTTATCAACGTGAAATCCGTTTCAGCTTTTATTTTTGAGTATTCCCAATTTTCTGCTTTGTATAAAATAGCGGTGTCATCAGCAAACCCGATGATCTCACCACTGCTTCGTTGTGAAAACAGCCCATTAATATATATATTGAATAGTATGGGGCCCAGAACAGTTCCCTGTGGAACCTCATACTCTATAGTTTTTGATTCACTCAAAACACCATCAACCTTTACAATCTGGTGTCTGTTCATGAGATAGCTCCTAAATAGTTGCAATAGAAGCTGGTGACTGATGGTATCGAACGATTTTGATAAATCGATAAAGATGCATAAACACGGCTTGCTCTCATTCAAGGCAGTATTGATTTTATTGGTTAAACTCAGTATGGCATCCTGAGTAGATATTTTTTTCTCTGAAACCGAAATGTTTATCAGACAAAATTTCATATTTGTTCAAATATGAATTCAACCTTTTTTTAATTATTCTCTCAAATATCTTCGATACATGACTAATTAACGAAATTGGTCGATAATTACTAGTTACAGTATTGTCTTCTTTTTTAAAGTTTAGAGTTTTTGAGTGCAGATGGCCATTGGTCGATGTTCATACATTTATTAATAATATGCGCTAGTGGTTCAACGATGTAGTTAGCCAATAGTTGAAGAATTTCTGCCTTTATACCATCAAGTCCAACAGATTTTTTTTTTCAATTCGTTGATTACTGTTCCTAATTCCTGTGGATTTGTTGGTAGTAAAACAAATGAATTTAATTCTGTTAATCTGTCGATGACAAAATTCTGATCCTTCCTAATTTTTACAGCTAGTTTTCTACCTATCGTAGTAAATTCAACACTGAACTCATTTGCAATATCTTTCTCATTAGTTAAATTCTTTCCTATTTTACTTTTGATTGTACTAATTTCATTTTGTTTCTTATTCGTTTGACTGATTTCATTAACTTTATTCCACAGATTTTTGGTGTCATTTGGATTCAATTCTACTTGTGTTATATAATAGTCATACTTTGTTTTTGCTAATAATGATGTTAATTTGTTTCTATATTTTTTATACTCTGATTTAATATCAAGATCATTCGGATGTTTGAGAACGTTTTTATACATTTTATTTTTTGTGTCTATTGATTTGACTAATGCAAGGAGGTGGCAACGTCGTCTGCCTATAAACACGATAATTTTTGGTTCCCTTTTATATCTGGGAAAAATCGAGTATACACACCGAAATTAAATAGTGCTTCTGCTAGTTAGTGAAGTTGAAGTCTGCTTATCTCACTGAGTAAGTTACGACACTCCAATCCAAAAACTAACTTGTTAAATAGACTTTTACGTGCTCAGAGATTGAGAATTCATTGTGGTTAAACCTTATCAGCCAAGTTTTTTGTTTTGTTTTTCGTTGCTGTACTCCCGATCCTCTGCAATAGTCAAACTATCAGTGTTGCCAGATTGAGAAATTCAGTCCAAGATATCTTACTCATATGAGGTCACTTGAATAATGATGGATGAGGATACAAAACAAATTCTGCAGAAGATAATAGAACAGAATAATGAAATTCGTGACGACATACGATCAATAAGAACCGAAATTTCCCTCTCATTAGACAGAACCAAGAAACTAGAGGACCAAGTTGATGAACTTACCACCGAAAACAAAGAATTGAGGAAAAGTAATGAATATCTCTCAAGGAAGTTGAAAGATAATAACTTGATCATATTTGGAATCGAAGAAGAAGAAACACTCACTCCTATTGATGCTATTCAAAGATTGGTGGAAGGCAATTTGAAAGTCTCTTTACGTGAATTTGATGTCAACAATACATTTCGTATAGGACAGAAGACTGCGAATAAAATTCGTCCTATCATTCTTCAATTAACAAGAAATATAAAGAAACAGGAGATATTGCAAAATGCAGCAAAGTTGAAAGGAACAGGTATATCTGTCAGTCACGATCTCACACCGACAGAAAGAGAAGAAAAGCAAGTCCTTTTTAAATATTATAAAGAGGCGAAGAATAAGAAATATGACACAACTCTCCTAAGAAATAAAGTCATAATAAATGGTGAAGTATATACAGCAGGAGACCTGAGTGAAGGTTTACATGAACGAGTGTCAGCGCCTGAAGTAAGAGAAAAAAGAAAGTTCAGCAGTCCAGACGAAACAGAAACAGAAGTTATAGGAAATTCACAGGAACAGCATTCAGAAAAAAGAAACCCTTATTCAACTAGAACACAAAACAGAATAACCCAATCAAACGATAGTGAGAAATCATTAATTATTCCATCCTATAAGAGACCAAAGAAGTAAATTAATTCGGTTATTTTGAAATCTCATTACATTCCTACTTAATTCTATTCGTTTTAAAATCTAGCATAGACATTATTGATATTGTTAGTTTTTTTTTTCTCTCTCTTAGATTAGGTATGTATTTATAAATCTGCCTGAAATGAATATTGTTGCACGATTTGAAAACAAAAAGTATATGTCCATTGGGCATGTGAATGTTAGATCCCTGAACACAGGTTTTGATGAATTTTCGCATTATGTTCATGATAGTGACTTACATATTTTAGGCATTAGTGAAACATGGCTTCTTCCAACAGACGAGAGTCGCCACTACAATATCCCTGGGTACGTGCTTGTACGCAGAGACAGGCAGGGACGGGGTGGAGGAGTGGCCTGTTATATTAAGCAAGAAGTACAATTTAAACTTTATAGGTATGATGCAGGTGATCCTACCTTTGAAATGCTGTGTGTTACCTCTACCATTAAAAAGCAAAAAACATTATTCTGTATAATGTATAGGCCGCCAAATGATAACAATTTCCTGAATAACTTGGATACCTTTTTGTCTTCGGTTATCTCGTCATTTGATAATATAATCATAATGGGTGACATAAATATAAACCTAATGACTGAAAGTTATATGAAATCGAAATTGACACGCTTATTGGAAATATATGACTTGAAACAAATTGTTAATTCTCCCACCAGATTAAATATCTCTTCGGGTACTTCTAGCCTCATCGATTTGATAATATCAACATCAAAAACGGATTTAGTATTCACTTCATGCATCTGTATGGCTCAAGTAACGGACCATGACTTGGTCTTAGCAAAACTGAATTATTATGTTCCACAAAAAACTAGAAAAACTATTGTCTATAGAGATTATAATAAATTGAATTATGAGAAAATCATACAGGACTGTGCAAACTTACCTTGGAATGATGTTGAACATATACATAGTTTGGATGATAAAGTGATTTTTTTCAATTCGCTTATTATCAAAATTATTGAAAAGCATGCTCCCTTATGCAAAAAAGAATTTTATGAAAAACCTTACACACCATGGATCACAGATAACATTCGGTTGATGATGAAACTGAGGGACAGGGCAAAACAAAAATTAAAAAAAACATTCAACCAAGGTAATCTAAATTATTATAAGGAACTTAAAAATTTTACAAATGACTCAATTAAAAGAGAAAAGGTGGCTTATTTCAACTTCATATCTAAACCATCGAATAAAAATAGTTTTTGGCAAAATGCTTCTAAATTGAACTTTCTGAAGCCGAAGAATTTCAATATTCCGAAACAGTTACAAGATGTAGACAAAATGAATGATATATTTTCAAATAATGATAATAATATCCTGGTTAATCGTAATAAATTCACAACTATGCACTATTATAATACTCACTTACATGAAAATGTTGATGATCTACTTACATTTAGGAGAATTACAAGCACAGAAGTCAAAGATATTATCAAGAACATAAAAACTTCTGCTGAGGGATGCGACGGTTTTTCTATCAAAATTATTAAAATCATCATACCATTTTGTGTGGAAGCTTTAACCCATATAATAAATATTTCTCTAGACCGCAACTGCTTCCCATCATTATGGAAACAGGCCAAAGTTAAACCAATTCCAAAAATCCCAAATCCGGAACATATCAGTGACCTACGACCTATCAGCATTTTGCCAGTTCTTTCAAAGATAATAGAACGTCACGTAAATAATCAGATATCCGAATTTCTAGAGAATAACAAAATAAGTAACTTTCATCAATCAGGTTTCAAGAAACATCACAGTACAACTTCCGCTCTTGTTAATATAACAGACGATATCAAAAAAGGTATAGAGAATGGAGATGCGACTTGCTTGGTCCTGTTGGATTTCTCTAAGGCATTCGACACCATTGATCATGAGATACTTTTATCAAAACTTCACTATGTTGGGTTTTCGCAGGCGGGTGTCGAGTGGGTTGGAGATTATCTGGCAGGACGGTCGCAATACGTGTCTCTTGTTAATGACAATGGTTGTGTCTCCTCAGCGTGTCATTACATCTCAAACGGTGTACCCCAAGGTTCTATATTGGGACCCGTATTATTTTCTATATATGTTTCTGATATGGACAGGGATCTACAGTACTGTAAATTACACCAATATGCCGACGACTCGCAATTGTATTTGAATTTCAAACCTGAAAACTACATAACAGCAATTCAAAGAATCAATTCTGACCTATCAGCAATCGAATGTTTCTCAAAAAATCATAGTCTCATCATAAACCCTACTAAATCTCAAGCAATGATATTTGCATCACGGGGTAATCGTAATAAAATGAAGAACAAGATCTTCGCGATAAGCATAAATCAGGAACCAATACATTTTACAGACTGCAGCAAAAATCTTGGTGTAAAGATAGATTCTGAATTGAACTTCGAGAAACACATAGCAGCTAAGCGTAAAATTGCCTATTACAGATTAAAAACATTGTACCCATTCAAAGATAGCATGAACCCCCAAACTAAATATTGTCTGTGTAATTCACTTATTTTGTCACTTTTTGACTATGCAGACGTGGTTTATCATTCATTAATCACCCAAGAAGTTGCAAAGCGTGTGCAACAAGTACAAAATGCTTGTATGCGATATTCTTTCAATATTAATTTCAGGGAACACATCAGTCCACATCTAGAACAGCAAAACAAGCTTAATATGACAAACAGGCGACTCCTTCACTTCTCAACATTTTTATTTAATGTGATCTTGCTCAATAAACCTGTATATCTACGTGAAAGATTACAAATACGCCACCATGAGCATAGCACGAGAAATCGGAATGCTTTTACAATTCCAATACACCGTACAACTTCATTTCACAACTCTTTCAGTTGCGCTGCTCCCCGATTGTGGAATAGCATACCAGATCAAATTAAAAATTTGAACTTCTTCAGATTCAAAAATGAAATTCGAAAAAAATTACTCGAAGAACAAAAAGAAACATAACCATATTAAAATGAAATTTATAATAGAATATATCTATATATATATATATATATATATATAAATGTTTTCTATAATTATTTCAAGTTCGTCATGAGTAGAAGGTCCATATATATTCATCTATTTGTCCTCAATTATATCCTGATTTTGCCTCTTTATATCTCATATATTCACTGTCCATTTTCGTGGTAGGTATATGTATAATATAAGTAGATAGGGTGTAGGCTTATAAAATTGTTATAGGCACCTAATTGTTCCTTATCATTATTCCACTTAATATGTAAATTTAGTTAAATTTAGTTATCTCAGTATTATCTATAGGCATCACTTGATTTATTTTTGGTAGATACAAATATTTATATTATTATTATTTCTAATGGGGGACTGGAAGATCAGCCTAGCTGAAGTCCACTCATATTTGCCCAATTGATGTTAATTGAATTTCAACATGTATTTTTTTTTAACATGTAATTTTTTTATGTCTCTGGGTGAATAAATACAAATAAATGAATAATAAATAAATAAATAAATAAATTAGTTATCCATGGTGATATTTTATAATTTTTTGTACGCTTTTCTTTTATTTCAGTGCAGCTGTCAATTGCGTTGGAGAGTATACTCACAAAGATATCAGTTGCAGTATCTGGATCAGCTGCCGAGTACACCGATTCCCAAGATGTGTCACTGATGGTGTCTTTTAGTTTGTTATAATCAATATGCTTTATATAATGCTTATCGTTCAGTGTTTCTTTGGGATTATCTAACATTAATTGTAATTCAATTGTATAGTGATCGGTTATGTCCGTTTGTATTATTATAGGTAGTGTATTCTCGAAGTGTTGATTTTTATCATTTTCATAAATATGTGATCGATGCATGACGGCTTTTGATGTGGCTGATTTCGGGTGAGTGAATTTATTGTTGATAAGTAACCATATTTATTCAATACGTTCGTGAATTCGACGTCCTGATCTTCATTATCTAAGAGATCTATATTGATATGACCAACGAAAATGTTATATTCTTCTCTTTGATTTCCATGGATTTCCATATAAATATTCAGGTTCCTGATGAATTTATCAATATCTGATGATGGTGACCTGTAAACGGCGGTGACAATGATATTATTCTTTTGGTCCAACTTGATTTTCAATCTGAGGAATATTATATCGTTCATATTATTCAATGTATAAGTGAATTCCGAATTCAATTTGACATATACCACAACTCTGTCATTTTGGTTGAATTTGCTTTCATAATAAATCATTTCATACCCATTTATTTTATACAAATTAGGATCTTGTATTATCCAAGTTTCTGTTAAAATAACGCAGTCTATATCTGTATGCATTTCCTCTCAAATTACTTTGAATTCATCTAGGTTCTTATTCAGACTTCGAATATTATTTTGAATCACTTTGAAGGTATTTTAAGAGTTCATTCCTAAGATTTCCTTGCACTCTTGTATGTCTTTCAAGGTGAATGTTTCGATTGTCTTGAGGTCGAAGTCTCTCGAGTATTGAACCATGTTCAAGATAATTAATCCTTCATCGCCTAATCGGTATTATTCATTGATGCTGGAATTGTCTATATATATGTTATATGGTAAAATGAGCACACTCAAGTATATATCATGTTACCAGATAACAGCTTCTCAGTATTTTCATATGGTGAGAAGCAGAATCAGCATTGATCATATTTCTATCTGCTTCCTACAATTTCTAGGATCAGCGCTGACGCTGCAGATCCGATATTATAAAAGGACCCTGCGTGGCAACCTTGGTGATTAGAATAGTTAGAATAGTCTAGTAGTCATATGAACAAAAGTTCCCTAGCACCAGCGGCGCGGTACTAGGTGGCCAGCCAGGAAAAATGATGATGAGCGAGAACACGGAAAATGAGTTTACGGTGCAGGGGATGGATACCCCAGTACCGGTCGGACCGGGCGGTGATGTGACAGGCCCCCACCGATCGTCAACCAGCAACTGTCAGGACTCAGTAGGCGACAAGA